ATATATATATATATAATTACTGTGTGTGGTTTTGCTGCTATTTGACAATAAACTGTCTTTTTCATATTTTTGGTCTCTGTACACACGTTGAGAAGCGTTAGGCGACCAAATAAGAATTGTGCCCTACTACTCATTTGAATACAAATACAAGATACTTACTGGGGCTGCTGGGGAAGACAACTGCTGTGGACTGAAGCCCACGTTGCAGGTCGCAGCTTCAGCGATGACGCGCTCGCTGAAGAGCCTGCGAAAAGAAACGATCTTAGTGGTGGTTGAATTCGTCGCTGCTCCAGATACTGCAATCGCGCAGAGGGTTAATGGAATGGAAGCAACGTCGTCTTCCGGAGCAGGCGTCACGGGTTTTATAATGACCAAAGAGAACCCGAGGTTTCCAATAGGCATCTCAGTCTGTTTACATGGACACAACGCTGCATGTCAGTAAAATCGGAACGTACCAAAAAAGTGCTGAAATAGAAATCGAATATTTTCAATGGCGAAAAACATCTATGCTACAACAATCTCATTAGCGTGAAGTTATCCACTTTTATCGGTCACATGCGTCTTTAACGCTTGATAAAATGCAATTCTATTTGTTTAGGTGCACTTGTACCTACCTACCTGTAGGTTAAGAAATTTAACATTCATAGCAACGGGCTTTATTATCCTTAACGACCTAAATAAACAACCCCCCATTCATCGCATTACATCTTCCGTAATCACGGCTACGTGTTTTTTGTAATTGCCAAGTTTTAAATTCGTCGTATGCCCTCCCGTATCGTGCTTTATATTGTTCTGGGATTGAATCTCGCGTGGCTTCCGCAGCTGCATCCAAAATTTCTTTAGGTACAGCCGAATTTCTCTGCAGCGTCCATCTTCCTCGAGCCATGGTCTGCAAGTGTATTGTTGAAATAGATATATCGCAAGCAATACCCAACAGTATAGATTATCGTGCCTCAACAGAATTCGTGTTTCATATCGCAGTAATGTAAATTTTCTCAACAACAAAAAATGTTATGGTGACCGATAAAACGCTGAACCTACCACGAAATGTTAGTGTAATTATTGCCTCGTAGAGATTAAAAATCTCATGCTCCGCTACGCACTGCCTCGATTTTTAACTTTTGGTATTGGCAGTAATCACACTCGTAACATTTCTATGTATGTTAATAGCTATAAATTTTGAATTGAAATTTCTAATTTACTCGAATCTCAGTTCATAATTGGAGTTTTGGTTTTTCACATGATACCGGTAATTTAAGTCCGATACTATAAAAATGAGATTTAACGAACGAGTAAAGCAACTACTAAAAGTAACCCATCCAATTTACAGGCTGAGATGAATTCAATCGTGCAGGAGGCTGTTAAATGCAAAGCCTTCATCGATTCCTTGGCGTCGGTTCTTAATGGAAATGTTGCTAAACGGAGAAGAGCATCCAATTTAACATTGAACTAATAAAATAATACAAGAGCAAGACGAGGAAATAAAAATCTAAAAGAATAATTTGACGAGAGAACAGATCAACTCGAAATGTATACGCGGCGGAATTCATTGCTGACCGTAGATTTCAAGAAACACGTTGATCCAGGTCAACTGCCAATTTGAGACATGGTCATTGATAGATGGCTCCCATCTTTTTAATTTTCAAAAACAATAATCGTGTTGCTTTATTACCTACTCTCTTCCATTTTTAGAGCCTTTTCTTAAAGTCGTCATTCAATCTACTTTTCTTCTCATTACTCAACTCATGGCATTAACTCTGGATAATCCTATTACTGACTCAGATAATCATTTTACTTCTGATAAAATGTTTACAATTAGACAAATTATTCTGCAATATCCAAAGTTCATTTTTACACTAGATTTGCAATGTAAAATAAATAAAATTGTGATGCAATAGCGTAAAATTGTATATCACCTTTATTCTTTCCTCCTATTGTTACAAAAAAAATCAATTCTCACCTAGTTTTATTTTAACTCCGCTTTACTAATAATACCGTTAGGTTTTCCTTGTTATTAAATTTACCAAATGTATGAATGTGGTAATTATCCTCGTGATTTTGTTTAGAGATTGCGTACTGAATACATACTAAATTACTGTCAAAATGCTGGTGTCAGGTTCTTGTTCACGCATGAGGTTTGCCACCCTCAGGGCAAATAACTAATCCATGTTTCAGGAGGAAAGCGAAAAGATATCCGAAGTTCGGGGTCGCCGCGCCCGGCGGCGCAGCCCCCTCACGAATATGGCGACAGGCCTCGCCGCTGGACGGCCTCGCGGGTGGTACCTCAGCGTGTTCGACGTGTTCGACGTGTTCGACGTGTTCGACGTGTTCGACGTGTTCGACGTGTTCGACGTGTACGACGTGTACGACGTGTACGACGTGTACGACCCGAATAATCATACCGAAGACAGAAAAAAATTAAGAAAGGACCTGAAGCTTCGTGACACGTACCACCTGGAACTTGCTAATTGTGTCTTAAATATACGCCAGCCCAGGATTTTGGTTAAGAGTCCGGGGCCTTTTTGGAGTTTTGCGTAGAATTAAGTGGGCAGGGGGTAAGCGAGCTGCCGTCGGGCCGGTATACCGGAGCCTCAGTCAGTGTGTGAGCCCCCCCCCTCCCCACGATCACCACAAAGTGCACATCGACGCTGCCCCCCTAAAACGAACGCGAAGTAATCTTCAGATCGTAGTTAGGCTAGTAGATGATAACCCTCATTCTTCAAGCAAAGAGAATCCGCACGAAATGTTGAATTGAGGGCCCCTGCACACGAGCGATGCGTTATCGCGCGTAAAAATTGGGTAAACTGCGACGTGTAACATTGTATCGCGCGTCAACGCCACGCAACGCTCATGTGACACACTGTACTTGGAATTGAAACAAGCCTCACAGCTAACGCGACTTTCCCAACCCTTTAAAAATAAAATTAACATTTCAATTTGCAATTTTCGAAAATAGTGTTTCCCACCCCCTTCTTGTAATACTTTCAGTTTCCACCCCTGTTGAAGTGTGTAAATTTGCGCTGCTAAGGCTGTTTGTCACCCAAAAAACTATAAATTGATAGGCTAATGTTGAAGTAATTTTTGTGACGGTAAAAATCGCATTAAATATTTTAAGCAAAAGCTGTTTAGCAAGAGTTATTAAATTATGCATTTATTAAGGCATATTTAATGTGAACGACCGAATTGTATTAAAAGTTCATTATCAATATAGTGTTTTATTTCAAAATTTCAAAGAAATTGTTTCATCAGTGCATTGGTGAAAATTGTTTTTCAGTTTTGTCTGGAGTCTCACTAAACCTTGATCATAAACCTTTATCATATTTTCAGAAACTAAATTAGTAATAAATTATTTCAAAAACCCCAACAATTTACAACGTTACTCAGACCTCTTGCTCAATTTATTATTTCTACTTTATTTTATTACGATGAGATAAAAAAACATTTTATGATCAACATTTGCTAATTTTATAATTCCAGGTTAGGACTGTTGTCCTTATTAAATTTCTAATATAAACTCGCATATTATCAATAAAACAAACATTAAAATTATTGCCATTATTAGCAATTACTGCACAAAAATATATAGATATGTGTCTATGATACGTTTTATGATTTTGCTCTTACTAATAGTGTAACAGTGCTTTTTTATGTTCAATCTTATGCTTCAATTTTGTATTCCGTGGCCACGCGATTTGTTGGTAGTAGTTAAGAAAATAGTCAATGGTAGCTCTTTATGTGGTAATCAAATATATTTATTTTACATCTATTAAACTAAATTAATTCGAATAATTAAATAAAAATTAATCATAAAAGTTCCTATTTGGTTTATGTAGGTCCCACAATACACACTTATCTCACAAATAATTATTTTTAAACGTAATATGGACTCTCTATCTACTAGGGAATATCTCGCTCTAACCACCTTAAACTGTTGATCTTCTAGTTTTGATGGCTTCAACACCCGAATGGATTATAGGTTAGAAATCGATATCATATGTCGAGAACTACGATATCGATCTCTTTACTGTGCAAGCACGACTCTGGCGGTAGCCACTTTCTTTATTCAAATTCACAACACAATTTTCAAACAGTTTTCAAAATAGTAATTTGAAAAGTAACATTTTTTAAATTTTTTTCGCAAATGCGCCAATTTAAGTAGTGTTAAATAAAATTGTGTGTTTGGAAATGTCACACAATGATTTCTCATTCATTTTCTATTCAGAAATGTGTAGTTTTGCCATGATTTTAGCGAAAGAAATGAGTTATGAAATCAGTAAAATAAAATACGTATCTCTACAACCAATGAAAAATGGTTTCAGATACAACTTATCAACAGAACAACTGAAAGTATATCTAAAAACAAATACTTATATTGTTGTTTGATAATTTTAAAAATATGAGCAACATGAATTTTTTTAATAAAATTTACTTTTTTCAAAAAAAAACAAAAAAAAACGCCCATTTTGACTAGTAGACTAAGAATTTACAATTGAAAACGCCACCAATAGATTCTTTGATATATATTAATGTATTTTGGTGTGTGTTGCGATATCAAACAAAGTTATTGTTATTTTAAAAAAATCTGAGATGATTGGGTGTGCGGTCGTGCTGAGTTCGCGTGGAATTACCCGTGTAACAAATCAAATGTTACCACTAATTCTAGGAAATAAAAAGAATCACTAAGAGGATGTTGCAGTGCCTGAAATACCAATGAGAACATTTACCATGAAAAAACTTAGTAAAATAGTTATTTTAGTTGTAAATTCTCAACAATCAAATATGCTGGAAAATTACATTACACTTTTCAATGTGTGAAGAAATTGAAAGAAAACAATGCAGCCTCCAGCGATTATTGTCTCTCTATGGTTTCACCATGTATCCAGAAACTCGGAAAAATCCAAAACAAATGTGCGTTTCGATTTTGGCTAAAAAATGAAATTTGATTCCTTTATTCTGCCTATTATGTCATACTCTTCATACCAACTGTATTCTCATACTCAGTGCATCACTACTTACATCATGGGTGGCATCAAGACACTAGGAAAAGGCCGCCTGGTATTAAATATTTTCTATTCACATGTGGAACAGCAACTTTTTTTATATTCTTGTTAGGTAAAGAACTGTGTGTACTGTAAATATACCATACTATATTTGTGAAGGCAGTTTTGGTTAATTTATTTAATTGTAGTGTTGTACGAAAATTATTAATTTTTCTTTAGCAGTGTGTGTGCTACATCGTTCATTGGCAGCAATAGTGGCACAACTCAAAAAATACGAAATTTTACATAAATACTCTCCAGAATTGCAGATTGGGCCACCTTCCAGCAGCAACAGCAGCTGGAAGTTTGGAAAACCATTTTGTTTGGGTTTGTTCAGCAGTATTTTCGCTGCTACAGACTTCAACCTCATATTTAAATATAATTTCATTTTCACTTTCGCTAATATCTCTGCACAAGAGATTTTTTTTCTAAAATATGGCCAAATTGATATGCAAATAGAACTACATATATTTTTTATTTTTTTTTATTTTTTATTTTTTATTTATTTTTTTTTTTTTTTTGTACATTCTGCTAGTGCATTTCACATTTTCTACATTCTGCATCCATTGCGAACACATCCCGTAATTAAGTTTACATTTACCTCCGCTAACATTAGCTCAAAAGCGCTACCCCACGGATATTTCGAATATTAAAAATCTCATTGTCATTGATAAATGAAGTGTTTATTCCATGCGTAGAATTTGAAGCGCCAAAGTAACAACAATTAAAACGTTCGCCATAGCAACGAGTCTATAGTAACAGTGTACTTGGCAAAACTTGGTCCAAAGCAGAGTTGTCTAGCATTGTGAGTGACAGTATTCTTTAGGTTCGAGTGTTATAATACCAGAAATTCTCAGAAGAATGCCACCCCGCAGACGCAGAACTCCTAAAAACCTTCGAAAGGCAAAATCGATGCCGCCGTTGCAAGATAATACGGCACCACCGGAGTTGGACCAAAACGCAATGGAGACTCCTGTCGAACGACCTCCAATTCGGGAAAGGGGCATTCTCTCCACACTTTGGGCGGTCCTGAGAAGCAAGAGAACTGTCCTTATTGCATCTGTCTACATCTTCCATATAACCTGGATCTTCTTTGCAGTTTGCGTTTTTGTAAAAATATGTGTAAGCAGTGGAAATATTTTTATGGCTTTGATATATATCTTAGTGACGCATAAATAATCCTTTTTTTCCCTAAAGATTATCTTTAAATTGTCATCTTCCACAGCTGTGACAATTGACCCAATTTGTTTTCTTTATAGGAAATATGTCTTCAGATGGTCATCCCCATGAACGATGATGACAAATATGACATCTGAGATGCAGCCGCCAAGGAATAGGGTAGTGTTTGAAGCACATTGTTTTACAGAAACACACATATCAAGAACTCTTTTTTTTCACTTGTTAGAAATCTGAAAATGTAATATTCTCTGGAAAATTTGGTGGGGCATAAATAAGTTTCTCAAAAATATGTAATTCGTTAACAAATAAATGTTCATTATCTATCTTTACTTTGGTTTCATTTTATTTACTCCTTCATTTACCACTGACAGTAATGATTGAATTAAGGTAACATTAAAATTTTGAATGACCTGCATAACAATAAATGATGGTGATAGTTCAAGTATGGTTAACATGTTTAATAAATCATGCAACAATTACACTGCCAGTACTGGAATTTTTCAAACGTTCTGAATCAGCATGTGGTGACACATAGAGTTACTTCTACCATATTTGAAACTTTAAAACCTGTACACAAAGCACTAAGAACAGATAATACTCATTACAATGAATAGAAAATGAATTTTAAATGCATATGAAATAGTTGTTTGAAAATTGCTAACAACTGACTAATTTTCTTGAAGAAAATTGTTGCACGTGAGATGTGATTTTATGATAATACATACATTCTTTAGTAAGTTTCATTATAATAAGAGAAATATAAAAAAATGTTCAATCCTTTAAACAATTTTTATATTTTTTTGTAAATCGGTTGAGGCAAAATTTAATGCCACTTACAAAAAAATATTATAAACATTACTTTGGCTGTGAAGTTGATTTTGAAGAGCTGGGCCTAAAATGTTTGGTATGTTAGGACTATTGACTTATAGAAAAATGGCTCACATCATATTCCATTTGCAATTCCTAAGACTTGGAGGGAACTGAAAGATCATGAAAGTGATTTTTATTTCTGTTTGACAAATATTAAAAGAATCTCGTATTCCTAACCGGATAAATGTGTTGCATGTCAATTCTGTGAATCCTGAAAAATATATTTAACTCATTGCACATTACGAACATTTTCATTCCTCATAATGTAAAAAGGTATGTATAAATTTTCTCATGGGTTCTTGTACTTG